GTTAGCATTTTGTTCTTGATATTGAGCAACACTGTAACAGAATGGGTAATGAGATGAAATACTCGTTTTTTTAATATTCCCTCTCGTTTTTCACTTTCTCGTTATTTCAGTGTCTCCCTAATCACTTCCTTTGATTTTCCTCCCCTTTCTTGAATCTTTCAATCCTCTTGATCATGGATAACTATATATCATGGTATTAGAGTATGGTTTTTTTTTTTTTGTGTCAAATTTAAAATTTTAAAATTTAAACGACCTCACGTATTCAGGAAATGAATTTTATAAACATATAAAGTAATAATACTATTTTAAAACAAATATAATATTTTCAAAAGTCTTCCAAATTTACACTTACAAGGCCACGTGTTCATGATAAGAAATCAGCCTACAATCAAATTCCTCAACTCCACAATTTGAGTAAGATTTTGACATGCTAGTGAGGATTGTTGAATTTTGATGCATCAATAACTCATATATGGAAAAACCCATTTTGGGAAGTAAAGTTTTCCAACCTGATTCATCTGTCTCTTTCATAATAGTGTAGTTTTTATTCAAATTGTCAATTATCTTTGATAAGTGTCTAAAGAAGAAGACAAGAAAGGTTAAAGATTCATTTTGGGAATGGACATATCAACTGAATTAAAATATCACATCAACATTTTTAACGATTAAATATAATGTTGTTAGAGTTAGGATCTAAATTTATAAATTGACAAAGTATAAGAATTTAATTTACACAAATTATTATATAAAGACTAAATTCATACTTTTGCAAAGTACAAGCACTTATTATACATACTATACCAAATCTAAATTCATATTGAAATTAATTTTTAATATGTGAAAACAGCAAAGGGATATATCAACTCACTTACCTTATTTGTTAAAAATAAAACAAAATGACAAGAATCAAAATCCTCCATAAGCTTATTAATTCAGAGTACTCAAAATTAGAAACCAACACAACTAACTTATCAAACAAAATTCTCTGTTGGTCCTTCTAAATCCAATGCATCTAAGGTGTAGCACCTCTTTTGCCATTTAAAATTAAGTTTAAAATATTTTTCAACATTTAGATTGATTTTTTTAATAAATTATAAATATATAAAATATTCAAAACTTAGAAATTGATAGGTTAAAATACAAATTCAGTAGCAAATATGAAGTTTTGTGAAAATATATCAAACACTAATTAAAAACTTAAGACATAATATTTAAAAAAAAACCCTAACCTTTCAGAAAAATTCAATAAGCATTTATATATTTATTGCATTTAATCAAGTTTTTATACTTTTATTTTGGGTTAAATAAGTCTTCATACTTTTATTTTGAATCAAATAAGTTCTTACGACTAATGATTACTTTAGTCAAAATGTCATTTGTTTATCTCTATCATATAATGCTGTCGTGAGATAGTAATATATTATAATTGATAATATTGTGACATATTAATATATTATAATTGATTATAATATGAAATTTTAATTTGACATCATAATATGATTATGTAACATTTTTTACTTTTCACATCAACGTCATGTGAATATAAAATGACCAACTAGCATTTTGTCTAATAATAATTGGTCAATCATTAGTTTAAGGGTTTATTTGACCCTAAATATAAGTATAGGGACTTGATTGAATACAATAAAAGAATAAAGGCTTATTTGAATTTTTCTTAACTTTTGAAAAATTTTAACAACTTTTTCAAAATGTGTCAAGTTAAAAATAATTTATTAATTAAATATTTATTCATGAAAAAATTTACAAGAGTTCAAATAATTCAAATTTCTTAAGTTTCTATCCAAATAGGTTGAATATTGGTCAAAAATAATTTTCAAAATAATTAAAAATAAATTTTCATAAATTTTAAAATTTTAAATTTTCATGGTCATTTGGTCTAATTTAAGCACTTATAACTTAAACCCTAAGTTGAAACCAGATGTGTAATCCATACCAAATTGAACCTTACATATCATAATTTAATGAACAAATTCAGTTTAGAAACAAAGATCATAAAAAACACAACTTTCAAATGTCAAAATTCACAAAATCATCATTGGAATACTAAAAATTTTTATTTTAGTTTCAACTAGACAACTTTGAGCCTTTGGTTCTCTTAACACCAAAAACGTATAACTAAACCATTAAGACTAAAATGAAGAACACATTTCATACTACAAAAATCCTCAAAGAATCAACTTAAAACGTTATAGGAATGTGGAGTTCTAGTCTTTCAAAGTTGGATTGTTCAAACTGTGAAAAAATAGATTTTTAATCAACTTAAAAAAATTTTATCTCCTAAAGTACTCAACCAAATGAGGTACTACAAAAACTTTAAGAAAGATCTTTTCAAGACCTTTTTATTAGTACCTATCTTACTGTTTAAAAATCATCAAAATAGTACTGATTTTGGATAGAAATTGAAGAAATATAAACTCAACTTTCATGAAATGAACAAATAAGCTTACCTTAATTCTTCCGTTAAAGGGATTTTCTCTCCATTTCCAACGTCCATTTATCTCTTAGGGTTTTCTTCTAAAAAAATGACTCTTTATGTTAAATCAAGCTAATTAAACTACCCTTACTATATATATATATTTTTTCTAGTAAGTCCCCTATATAAAATATTTTAATATAAGCCTAACTATTTATATATTAATTCAATAATGAACTTATTGTCACATTTTGAGATTTTATAGATGTTCTAATGGAATTGTATTTTGGGTTGGGGTATTTCATACTATATCTTTGTTGGGTATCAGTTCATTGTGAAATACGAAAATTCATTTATCCCTTTTTATAGATTTCTTGGTTTTGATCTCTCGTTCTTTATTTTTGATCTTTTAGTTCATCAATTGATTCTTCAATGGTATATTCTACTTCATAAGCTTCAACCTCACTAACAGAAGATATTCAATTGCAATACTACATCCATCATCCCGACCATCATAGTTCAGTAATTGTTGCGTTTAAATATGGTGCGTCCACATAGCATGTAACTTTATTAATTATTTGTGAATAATTAACTAATATTCAATTAATTAATATTAGATATTGTTTTGATATAACTTAATTGAATAATTAATAATGAATGTTTAAGATAAGATATAAATTTGAATTTAATTTGTTTAAATTTAAATAAAAATTAATTATATTTAAATTTAATTTGTTTAAATTTAAACATAATATCCTATCTCTATATTTTTAATACGTCTATAAATAGTGAACAGATGTATTAATTTCAACACACAGCCAAGAGTGAATGTGAGTTCTTCTATAAGTCAGAAAAAGTAAAAACTCTTTTATTCTTTTTTCGTTCTCGTCATTCTTGAGCCACCATCAAAGGTCAGAGGAACGTGTAATTCCTTATGGAGGATTCCAGTAACCATTCCATCACAACGAGAGTGAAAAAATTATTATGTACACGAATGAGCATTTGTAAACCAAGTTTCTTCAATAAGAAAGAGAGTGGAATATTTATTTGAAAAGGTAAGCCCACAATCCAATAGTAATGATAAACCTTAAATTGACCTCATCAAACTATACATCCTAGAGCCATTCATTTCTTCTTGGCTTATCCATTCACAATAAATCAAGTATTATAGATGGATCTATTGCTGTGTCTAAGCCAACCAATGAGCGATTTGTCCCTTGGAGCAGATGTAATAGATAATTTAATTGTAGCTTCGTTACTTGAATCTCAATCACTAGCAATTGCAACGAATGTCTTTAACATGGACTCGGCACAAGAGATATGGGGGACATTGAAAAACCACTTGTCTCAACCAAATGATTCAAGGATCTGTAATCATCAGTTTCAGTTGGACAACATCATCCAAGGCACGGGATCGATAGATACTTCATTAAGTTGAATTCTATTTGGCAAGAATTAAGAAATTTCAAGCCTGTACTCATCGTAATCGTGGAGGTTGCAAGAATAACAGTATGCTGATCAATATAAAAAGGATATTGACTTATGTTTTCTCAATGGTATGAATGATACTTTTTTTTTTTTTGGTATGAATGATACTTTCTTAGGCTTAAGATCACAAATAGTGATGGTTATACCTTTCCCTAGCTTAGATCAAGCATACAATTAATCATGGACTTCGCGAAGAAACACAGAGGTCTGTATCATTAATCTAGTTAGTGTTGGATCCTTGTTAGCTAACTAGAGTTAGCATTCCGTTGTTATATATAAATATACAGCAACATTGTAATTAACAGAATGGGCAATGAGATGAAATACCGGCTTTTTAATTTCCCCTCTCTGTTTTTCACTTTGTTGTTGGTTGAGTTTCTCTCTCACTTGCTTTCATTTTCCAAACTATCACTATAACGCAAGATAGAAAAGAATGGAATGGAGACGAGAGTGGTTTTAAAATTGATGATTACATTTGGATCTAACATTTATGTCAAACCTAATTTCACGACCATTAGCGGTCGATCAATATTAATTTGGCAGTTGAAGCAAATTAAGATTGTCGAGGTGGAAAAGAAGAAAAGTGCCCGTGCTCTTTGGACTGGAGGCATAATTAATACAACTCCATGAAAATGTAAATATTTTTCTCTCTTTCTTTCTTTCTTTATTTTGCCAATAATTTGAGCTTTGATAACTTACTTATAAAAAGAACAAAGGAAAGCCTTTAATTGAGAGAAAGAGCTAGGCATGGCAATAACACATATTTTTATCTCTTATTAAATAAATATTTAATATATATATTTCTATATTTATATTTATGTCTTAACTTTGACATTTAGAATCAAATTTTGAATTATGTATTTATGGCTTGAGCCTCATGGAAATGGGTCCAAGTTTGATGCGTTAGCCGGTGGTAGGGGCGCCAAGTGATCCATTGGGGTGGGATTGGCGCTACCTGACCTAACCCCCAATTTTGGCCTAAAATATATGAACAATTCTTCATTTCCCACGAGGCACACCTACCACCGCATAAGCAGCTATGCTAATATACCAAAACACCCCTTCTCTGCTCGACTCTCTGGCCCAATAACTGCGACAAAAACAGAAAGCAATGTCTAGTAGATGACAACACATTCACACCAGCACCCACACGCGCACCCACCCAACCAGACGCCACCATACCTCTTTCCCAAAATCCAAGTTTCTCAGACACAAACGACCCAAGTTCTAAGCCCCTCTAATTCTACCTATCTGTCCCTTGTGTGCTTACAGTTCACTGCTGATGGATGACTCAGCATCTTCGGCAAAGACAGCAAGTCTGGACGCTCCCCTGCATGTATTTGGGTTTGAGTTACAAGATTTGTCCCCCACCAAAGTCACGGGACGCCTTCAAGTCACCCAAAAGTGCTGCCAGGTGAGTTCTCAGATTGTATATTTTTTGTCTTTTTGATGCCTCGATGGTTCCAACTTAGTAATCTTTTCCAGTTTAAAAAATTAATTAATTAATAATGTTGCGATTGGCTATTGCCAAAGCAGCCATTCAAGGTGTTGCACGGTGGAGTTTCGGCTCTGATAGCGGAGGCGCTGGCTAGCATCGGGGCTCACATGGCTAGCGGTTACCAAAGAGTGGCTGGAATCCACCTTAGCATCAATCATGTGAAGCGCGCCGAACTGGGAGACCGTATCTTCGCTGAGGCTACCCCGGTCAACGTTGGCAAGACCATTCAGGTAGGTGATCTTGAGTAGCCACTAGGTGCCCAACTTTGTAACCACTATTACTACTTAATTTGCATATTCATTACTATTTCCCTATGCGGCAATCTAGATGTAAATGTATGAAGGCGCTGTAACTAGCTGGACGGTCTTCTATTATTACTTTATTAATATCAAATTTTACAATTTTAAAACAAGCAAAACATTGGTCTTTCCAACCCATCACCAAAATATACATCACTTGATTGTCTGTAGATATTTGATTGCAGCTACTTAAAAACACAAATTCTTTGATTTCATACACTATTGATCACTTTCCTTTTTTAACTTATCGTAATACAATAATTCCTATGGAGGTTGAAAATTTTTATGACCAAACCACAACCCTTTTGGTTGCCCAATTTGATAAGCTTCACGCTAAAATATGTGCATCATTCTATGTGTACTTGTGTTGTTTGCTCCCCATCCAACAACAACGAGGCTTACGATGATAGTGTTTCACGGTTTCAGTTTCAACTATCCCCTCCTTGTCCTTGCTGTTGATCCTTGCTAAGTCTCATTTACCAAATCAACTAATTGCCATTAATACCACTGAGCCAGATCTTTACATTTGCCAAAATGATGGAAAAAGCATGTTATAATTTCTAGTGGAAAAGCATTCAGATGGACGATCAATATGTACTATTTTGGTCTTAAATGCCAATGTGCCATGCCTTAAACAACGTTGTTGAAACTATAATTATGATACTAATAACGGCTGCTTCACAACGCTGCCAAATTGTAAATTTCAACAGGTATGGGAGGTTCGACTATGGAAAACAAACCCTTCAAGCTCAGGGAGCAGATCCTTGGTATCCTCATCGAGGGTTACTCTTCTGTGCAACATGCCTGTGCCAGAGCACGCAAAGGATGCTGGAGAAAATCTCAAGAAGTTTGCCAAGCTATGATATTGGACTCGGTTCTGTATTTTTTTATTTTCTGAGATATACTTGGTTCTATATTTGCTGTAATGATAGCAACAACAAATTTAACAACGTATTCCAGATCACTTGTATACGTGTACATCCCTTGGTTAATTGAACAACTATTTCTGCAATGTTATATATTTCTAATCCATCATATATATTTGCTTAAATCCTGATCTTCTGCTTAGGTAAGTAAAAGAATATTGAAAGTCCAATCTGGTGGAAGAAAGTGGTGGCGATGATCAATTCAATTATGTGGATGTAAATGGGGTTCTTGTGATGAGAAGAGGAAGCGTTGCAAACAAGTAAGGAATGTACCGGAAGTGACGAATAGGAAGATTGGAGTAGTTCCTGGAACACGAAATGCCGTGACAGGTGAAAGAGAATAAGAAAAGAATAAATGTTTTAAGTGAAAATAAGCTAAGGAAAAAAGCTATAAGTCAGAGGTCAGTGGTTCTAAAAGTCCCCTTTTGAGTTGTGTAGACTTTATATATATAATGTCAAAAATAATAGTTACAAGAAAAAGTCTTAATACGCGTAATGAATGATATCATTAAAGAGAGTTTTAATGTTAGGTAACTATTACTAAGAGTTAATGTTAATTAATCGTTAAAAATTTATTATGTGACAATTGAAATAATTATATTTAATAAAAACTTGTTCTCGAGTATGAGTTAATAAAGAAAAGCTGTACGTGAACCGTTATAAGAAAGGAAGCTGTACATGAACAGGTACAAGAGAAAAGGCTGTACGTGAATAAGTATAAGACAACAAGAAAAAAGCAGAAAACATTTGTACTTCAGAAAAAGATTAAGAGACTTCTTAACTACCTCCATATCTGAGCCACTAAGCCAAATTCTCCGAAATATCCCAATATGAAAGTAACCCATAAACCCTACCACCTATTCTAGATTACTTTCACTGTCATCTGTGTGAAATTATTATTTTGTACAAAATAGTTATTTTACTTGTATTAATTATTCCACATGGAGTAATGCTCCACCTATTTTAGTAGTGCTTCACTTATAATGGTTGTTCTCATTACTTTTTATATAATGTTACATGATAACATAATTTTAGAGAATAGATATTAACCAAAATCGACTATCTATATTTTATCCTGTGCATAAGAATTCATTGTTAAAATTAATTTTTATGTATTAATTTAAAATGTACAAGTTTTATTTGTACTATAACGTATTGTACTATATCAGTTTGAGTAGTCATGCCTTGGGCAGTACCACCTTAGACAGTAACACCCTAGCCAGTAATGCTTTAAGTAGTAACATGTTACTATCTTGTGCAAATATTTTTTTTTGTAATATTTGATTGATTTCGTAATAATATTTTTCATATATATAAGATTTTCAAGATATATATTTTTTAATATTTGATTGATTACATAATAATAATTTTCTATATAAATAAGATTTTCAAGATACAAATAATAAAAGTCAATCTTTTTCATAAAAAACCCTGATTCTATGTGCTTTATAAATATGAAACTACTATGAATAATTTCCTGCATTCAAATTCAAAGTAAAGCAAACAAAATTAAAAGCAAAGTTGGTTCTTTTGAGAAAAATTCAGCACGTAAGTTTTTCTTCTTCTTGTAATTTCTTGTTTGATTTTTTTTTAAAGAAAAATGAATTTCTCTTACTTGTTGGCCCTTACATAAATTTTTATTATTATTAAAATATGAAAAAAAAATTATGCATGAGATGATTTTATATATATGTATATATATATATATATATATACATTCAAACAAATAAATTATTTGATTGTAGAAAAAAAATTACAAAGCAAAAATATTTATATTTCAAAGGAAATAAAGGTTGTCTAACTTGTTTTTTTTTATTGGCAGCAAAAGCTGCAAGTTAGAATTTTTTTTTTATACAAAATTTTTTTTATCTGCAGCAAAAGCTACAAGTTGTAAAAAAAAAAGTTTTATTAAAAATTGAGCCTGCTCGAGGCGCTTGCCATGAGCTTTTTTGAGTGGAGCTCACGGCACATGTCGCGAACCTTTTTAAGTGAAGCTCACGGCATGTGCTACGAGCCGCCTTTTTTTTTTTACTTTACTTTTTTTTATTATTATAATTATTTTATTTTATATATATATTAATAATAAATATATATTTTTGTTATTGTTTTTTTTAATTGTTAGTATATGTATATATATATTTTTAATATATATATTTTTCTTAATTGACAAATATATAAATAATAGAGTTTAATGCACATGAATACTTATCTCTTTTTCCATGATCATGTTTGTAGGCTTCTTTTCTCGTCTTCCTCCATCTTACTCTATGCCTAGAACATGCTTCCCTCCGAAGATCCATTATGGTGAGCTTGGAAGAGCTGTAATAAGGAAGAAGACCACTGCACATAAAAGAAATAACAAAGATTCTGAATTAGTTGCTCCCAAGAAAATTAGAGTAGGAAAGAGTGATAAAGTCCCTCCTATCCTTGAAAACTGGGAAGATGAAATTATTAAAGAATGAGGAGAAGATCAAATTTGGGAAGAAGTTCATGTCAAACAGGTTAACAAACATCCCTCTGAGCTTGTTGGATATGATTGGAATCGTCTATGCTCAGAAGCACCTCCTCATAAAAGAAGTGGTATTTTAGGACGATTTATTCTGAAGTTCAGGTTTGAACATGGTGAGTTTCCCCTTTCTGCTATTAAGTTAGGTTCCAATTCTCAATTTGTTCATGATTGGGATGAATGGGTAAATAAGGTGTTGAAGAATCCTACTTATGTTAAACTTCTCTCGTCTGTTGGGATACTACATGTTATACTTATCATTTGTAAGCTCAATATTCGTAGAGAGGGGAGGATGGATGTATGGCATGCTATTCTTGTAAGGTGAAGCACTTTTTCTCATACTATGATTATAGCATGAGGAGAATTTACTTTCACTCTGGAAGATGTATGTGTTCTTTTGAAACTTCCTTATATAGGAAAACATGATTTTCAGTCTATTAAACTTTTTGAAGAAGAGGTATGTGTTCGAGACTTTTTATTTAATCTCCTTAAAAGTCTGAGTAAAACTTCGAAGGTTGCACGCTTCTCCAATTGGATAGGGGTTTTTTATAAAAAAAAATTCAATGCTACGGGGGGAGTTGAAATTAGTTCTCCTGAGTGCCCAAATCATAAGCATGAACTAGTAGCTTTAGTAATTTTTTGGTTGGCACGACACATACTCCCAGGGTGTCCAGATGATGGTATTTCTTCAGCAGTTATTCCTTTAGCAATAAAACTTGTTAGTGGAATATGTTTTCCTCTCTCTCTCCACTATATTTAGGATCTTTATATAAAATATTAGACTTGTACCAACTTAAAACTGTTGAGTCAGCTGGGCGTTATAGAGTTTTGACTTATGTGGATGCTTCCTTCATTCATATGTGCTTATAGGAAAGGTTTGGTACTTGCGCTCCCATGCCTAATGCATATCCTTTTGCATCTTTTTCTGTGACTAACCCTTTATCCAGAAACAACTATAGAGTTTGGGCATGGCATGATCGACTACCAAGAAGTAATGTTCTTGAAGAGATGGATGTTACAGAAGAATTCAATCTCAGACCTTATGTGCAGCTCATAAATGGATTTGGTGATCCTGCAATTTATTATGACTTTCATCCTTTACAGTCTAGAAGAATGAGCTCGCGAGGTATTAACTTTTGTTTAGGGGTTCATAGTTCCCAATTGCCTTATATGACTGAGAGTTCTAGTGCTAGTGGAGGTAGAAATTTTCATTCTATCGAAGTGTATTCTCCTTATAGAGTGGCACGTCAATTTGGATTTGACTAACCAGTTCCACCTGACTCTTGTTCATCTGCTAGCTTTTCTTCTTGTGTTTCTTCATTTCTCATGACAGGACTTCTACTCCGTTCAGATAAGCTTAAGAATTGTACTATCTCACCTTTTGATAGAGTTAGTATCCATACTTCTGGATGGTTTGTTTATTGGAGAGAGTGTCTTGGAGAATGGAAATCGTTTACTGTGCCATTAACTAATCCCATAGCTCATCTCTACACTGCTCATGTAAGTAATAATGATATATCCTTACGCTTGATTCCTCTTAAAAAGAAGAAATGTATAACTGAAGAATAAGATTCTACATCTCGTGCTCCTACTCTTCAATCAAAAGAAAACCACGCCTATCGAAAAGTAAGTTCATTTATTTTTTTATATATTTTTTTTATTTTTTATATATATTTTTATATTTTTTTTTTTAGGGATAATCAACTACACGAGTAGAACCTAATTCAGTTGAAAAGGAAGAAACTTCTAAAGCAGAGACTGAGGAAGAATCATGTGACTCTGAACGTAGTGATGAATCTGATGATGAATCAGTTGATGTTGATAATGTTGAAGTTGAGAGTGAGTCAACTCCTTTTGATGATTTTATTGATTTAGATGTTCTATTTCCAAATCATGTTCACAGCTCCACTATGAACCAGGTATAAACATAGCACTAATTGATTTTGTTCTATTTTTTTTTTTTTGAAATTAAGACTTTTTTTACTCTCTAGGCAATTCGAGATGAGGTTGTTCCTGACACTGAGACTATTTGTGTTGTTGAAGTTAAGGTTGTTCCTGACACTAAGGCTATTCTTGCTGTTGAAGTTGTTCTTGAGACTACTCCAAATGTTGGGTTATTCATGATGTTGGAGTTGACATTAATCCCCATGCTTCTTCCTCCCCAGTGCCAGAACACAAAGATGCCAATAATGCTTTCTGGCACTCAAGTAACACATACTGAACAAAGTGGTAAGAAGGTTGACTTTCATGGTTTTCAAATTTCATTAAAGTACGTGGAATACTTGGAGCATGTTTTCAATATAAAGGGAGAGTTTTGAAGTACTTCCTTTGTGAAGAATGTAGACGACATTTGCTTAATGATGGAAGTGTTGTGTAAAGCTTTAGCCATTTCCCATGCTCCATTAATTAGTACTTCTTCAAAGGAATTGCAATAGATGTTATAGGATTTCAATGATGTTTGCAACTTTGGATTCAAGCTTGACTGCTTCAGTGATTGTAGATCTAAAGCTAAGATTTTCCTCAACAAGTCTTCCTTGGAAAATGAGTTAGAAGATATTGCAGGAAAGATAGCTTCCCTACAAAAAATGTGAAGTTGAAGTACGAGAATAGTTGGATGTATTTGCCCATAATAACTCTTCTCTATGGAGTATGTAATTGGCTAGTCTTTTGCTTTTCCCTTTATATTTTTTTTTGAAACTCATTTGAGCTAATACTTCACTTTTAATATGTCATATTTCTTTTTCTTTTTGCGATAATAATGTTATACGCTTGTTGCGTACTTATTCACATTTCATATTATTATATGCAGCCAAAGGATAACTCTCAACTTCTTATCAAGGAGATTAACTCTAACTTGATATGAAGGAGATTATTTCATCCTTTTAAATAACCTAAGGCCAAAGATAAGCGATGAAGCTTGCGGCCAATCATTACAGCCAAATCATGAGTGATAAAGCTAGCGGCTAAAATGTTATTGATAAATTATGGTCTAAGCTTGAGCGATATAGCTTGCGACCAATAATATAATATCATTACAGCCAAATCATGAGCGATAAAGTTAGCGGCTAAAACGTTAATGATAAATTATGATCAAAGATTGAGCGATATAGCTTGCGACCAATGATATAATATAATTGCAGTCAAGATATAAGCAATGAAGCTAGCAGCTAAAATAGTAAAACACAGCCAATATAAAAGCGGTAATACTACGGCTGTAATGCCTTTCATTACGAAGAAGTAAAACATGTATTTTGCATATAACAAAGAGTGGAGTTAGAATCTCATACATGATACTTCTTTATATATTGAAAATTGATTGGAGCGGTAATGGCATTATTCTTTGGATTTATCAATTTGCAATATCCACTCTCATTCATCTCGTGGACAATATATGGTCCTCCCATTTTGGATTGAATTTAGAAGCTGGGGTTCCTCTTCTAATAAGTTAAGTTGCACGAAGTACTAGATCACCCTCTTCAAAACCTCTCTTTTTCACTAACTTGTCATAAGCTCTACTCAACCTCCTCTGATAAACTGATAAGTTCTTCTTTGCTCTATCTCTTTTTTCCTCTAGCACTTCAAATTTTAATATCCGTAAAGTATCATTATCAAATTCAGCATTTAAAGCTAAACTTGCAGATGGAACTAGAATATCAACCGATAATATAGCCTCTGTCCCATATACTAGTGAAAAAAGAGTTGCTTTAGTAGGTCCACGCTTGGAAGTCCTATACGCCCATAATGTTATTGGAAGTGCATCATGCCACATCTTTGGTTATTCATGCACCATTCTACTAAGCACTTTGAGTAAAGTCTTATTAGTAGCTTCAGCTTGACCATTTCCTTTTAGCTAATAAGGAGTAGACTTTACATGATCCACATCGTAAAGGGCAAATAATTCCCTTACACTAGCATTAATGAATAGAGTACCATTATCTGAAACAATACATCTAGGTTTGCCAACCTGCAAATGATGTTTTCCTTGATGAAATTTGCCACCGCTGGACCAATCGCATTCTTCAAAGAAATAGCTTCCACCCATTTAGTAAAGCACTCTGTTGTTGCTAATATCCAAGCATATCCTTTAAAAAGAGGATTGATAGGTCCAATTAAATCAAACCCCCAAGTATGGAATGGCCATGGAGTAATGATGCTATGAAGTTGTACAGCTGGAGCATGTATAGCATTCCCATAAATTTGACATAGATAACACTTCCTTGCATAATTCACTGCATCCGCTTCCATAGTAGGCCAATAATACCCAAGATCCAAAAGCTTCTGATAAAGCTTCCTTCCACCTTCTTGTTCTCCACTACTACCTGCATGCACTTCTTCTAACAATGGATTGACATTAGCAGGGGAAACACATTTCAATGGTGTTCCTAAAAATGAGAGTCTGAACAAATCATTTCCTTTGAAGAAGAAACGTTAAGCTTTTCTCTTAAGCTTTCTTGCATCTTGAAAGTTAGCTGGTAAAATTCTATTTTGGAGAAAATCAATATATGGCCTATGCCAATCACCAGCACTTTTGTACATTTGGTTGTTCAAAACATCTAGTGTAAGCCTTTTCAAGCTGTAAAGCATCTTTAGACATAGATGGTCAAAAATATCCTGCCTTTTGGAGTAAACGGTGTAAAGGTGGTCATTCCTCCCCACGCCATTGCTCATGGGCTATTCTCAATCTTTCTTTTGCCTCTTCCTTAGAAACACATATGGCTAGAACTCCATTACTTCCCTTGTGGTAAAGTGTACCATGAATCAAAATATAATGCTTCAAGTGCGGAATAGCAATAGAAGCAGGATTAAACACCTCTACTATGATAGGTTTTCGTCAATCTTTTTTCTCATAGATTGGAGGCTGTAATAACCCACTAGATGGACATGGGATAGTCATCTTGAGTACAGCTACAAGAATACTTAGTTCTTTTTCTGGAATATGAATTTTAGAAGCCAAAGTAGCTAATGCATCTACATAGCAGTTCGTTGTTCTCAGAGTATGTTCACATCTCACCGCTTGAAATTTCTCTAACAAGGACTGAACAAGAGTTCTATAAGAAGGAAGTATTGGTTCTTTCAAGGAAAACTCACCATTAGTTTGCTTTACAATAAGATTAGAGTCTCCATGAATGCAAAGATTGTTTGCTCCAATCGTGGCTGTCACATACAACCCCAAAACTAGTGCTTCATACTCAACTTGATTATTTGTGCATGGGAAATCTAGCTTGAAAGCTAAAAAGATAAGTTCTCTTCCTGATTCCAAGGAGTTTAACTCTAACGTTCTCTACTTGGTGGAACGAGAACTATTTCGGCACCTCCTCTAAAACTATTTGAAGAACCATCAAAGTATAAACTCCATTCCCCTTATTCTATATTTATTGCACATGCTTCTTAAAAAATTCAGCTGGAATGGCATCAGGAGTAACCTCTTCAAACTGAGATGGCCTCAGACTTGATAGCTTTTGGCTGAACAACTGATATATCAAACTTTCCCAATAAAAGAAGCCATTTTGCTATTCTTCTAGATAGAGCTGGCTTAAAAAGTAAGAACTTGATGGGATCTAACTTTGTCACAATTATGAGCTTGTGTGCCAAAAAGTAATGCCGAAGCTTTTGAGTTGCGTACACTAACGCAAGACAATACTTTTTCATAAGTGGATAATTCAACTCACTTCCGTGTAAGCATCTACTAAGGTAGTACATAGGCTTTTCTTCTCCATCAATCTCCTGTACAAGTAAGGCACCAATTAAAAATGGAGTAGAAGTCAAATACAACATCATTAGCTCTCCTTTAATGGGCATGGTCATCATTGCAGAAGAAGTAAGAATCTTCTTACTCTTTTCAAATGCTTATTGTTGTGATTCACCCCATATGAATGGAACACCTTTCTTAAGCAAAACTTGGAAAGGTACAATGATTTCTCCTAAAGTTGGAATGAATCTCCTAATATAAAAGACTTTTCCCAATAGGCTTTTGAGTTGTTTTTGATTCACCGGAGATGGCATGGATTGAATAGCCTTTATTTTTGCAGGATCAACATCTATACCTTTTCTGTGAACGACAAAACCTAAGAATTTCCCAATTGTTACTCCTAATGCACACTTTAAAGGATTCATGCGAAGATTATACTTTCTGCACCATTCAAATACTCTTTTCAGGTCTCCAAAGTGATTAAAAGTCTTCTTGGATTTCACCACTATATCATCCACATAATCTTTCATACAATCATGCATCATGTCATGGAAGATAGTTGTCATGGCACGTTGATAGGTTGCACCCGCATTCTTCAATCTAGATAGCATTACAGTGTAATAAAAATTACCAAATGGAGTTCTGAAAGCTGTTTTCTCTACATCTTCTGGTGCCATCTTTGTTTGATTGTATCCACTAAACCCATCCATGAAGGAAAACATCTCATGACCAGATGTAGCATCCACTAAAGTATCAATGTTAGGAAGAGGAAAATCATCTTTTGGGCATGCCTTATTCAAATCTCTGAAATCTACACACACTCGAATTGTTCCATTCTTCTTTTTCACAAGAACTACATTTGCTAGCCAAGTAGGATAATGTATGGGTTTGATGAATCCAACCTTGAGAAGCTTGTTAATCTCTTCTTTTATCTGGCTCTCTATCTCATGATGAAATACATGAGCATGTTGTTTCACTGGTTTACTTGTGGAGAAATGTGTAACTCATGAATAATGATATTTTCATCTAATCTAGGCATCTGCTCATAAGTCCAAGCGAACATATCTTGAAATTTTCTCAACAACTCAATTAGCTCAATCTTGTGCTCACCAGAAAGACTTTTGCTTATGAAGAATGGCTTAATTGTCTCTCCTTCTTTTGCAATATTTATTTCTTCCAACTTATCACCTTGAGGCTTATGTCGATCTGAGATTTTTTTCTTATGGGTAATACTTCTTGTACTTTTTCCTCTTCTGCTTCCACTTGAAACATGATGGTGATGCATCTAGTGGCTTCTAAGGTTTAGGATCAGGAAAAGATATTTCCTCAGACCCGCGTCCATCATAAGCAATACACAATTTTTTCATCTTCCCGTGCATAAGAAGTTACCCCATTGGACGTCTTTTCTTCATTTACTTCTCTATATGTAGAAGTACTTTCTCTTCTTCTCTTCCCACCTCGTTTCTTCTTCTTGCCATTGCTCTCTACCTTATACCCAACATATTCTTCCTATCACGAAAGTGGAACACCGATAGGTCTAGCAATAGTTGTTTCTCCATCTTCTGCTAAATCTTCAAAAAAAGAAGCCATTGTATAACTAGCCTCATGCCGTTCAAATGGAGCTTAAGTGGCTGGAATGAAAATCCCCTTCCCTTTCCAATGTCCTTTAATACATTGATGGCATGTGGAAGGAATGATATTGTGCATGTGCAGGAATTTTCTTCCAATTAGAGCATGATAAGCCACAATTGCATCAATAACATGAAACATGTCTAATTTTAAATCGACCCCATCTTGAAGTTCACTATCACTTGCCCCAAAGTCATAATCTCCTTATTATCAAAGGAAGTGATAGCCATAGGATGGCGTAAACCCTTTAAATCTATGTTTATAGCTTTCAAAGTAGATATAGGTATGAGATTCACAGAAGAGCCATCATCAATGAATGTTCTCTTAATAGGATATCCATTGATAGTACTTTCCACATATAGGGGTTTATTATGATGAGGATGAGGTGTACACATGTCTACCTCTGTAAACACAATAGCATTCTGATATGCATCAACCATATTCCCCATAGGTCGTCCTACTAGGTTACACGCTCCACACTGTTCTCCAGCTATTTGAACTAGTGATATAGCTACTTCTTTCCTTACTTCTTCTGAAAACCCAAGTTGATCAAAAAAAAGTCTGAAACTAGGCGTCTTCATAAGTGAATTAGCAATTGAAGAAATAACCATAGTATCTTCACTTGTACCATTGAGCTGAGTGTTTGAAAAAGAAAGGTCATCCTGATGATCATGAATTATTGCACTTACTTGACCTTGAGGATTTGGATGAATAGGAAGAGAGTTATTCTGGAATCTATTATTTCCAATCAATACCTCTCCTGCTTGCACTCGTCTATGGAACATTCTTCGAAGATTTTTGCATTCAGAAAATGGATGACCAATTGCTCGATGATAGTCACAATATCTTGGATTAGCCTTCTCCTCCACTGTTGGTGGTCGTGGAATGTATGGTAAGTTTATCTATCCATCCTTGACCCATTCTTGAAGAAGAGCTCTCACTCTATTCAAAGGTACTAAGAATGGTGGAGAAGAGTCATTCTCCTCATCTAGCCTTTTCCTTGGGACATCTCTTTTAAGGTATTGAAAATAGTAATTACTATTAAAGAGTAAGATATCGATAAGCAGATAGCACATTGTAGACAACAAGTGCAGGAATTTTGGTGGATTAATTCACAAGTCATACAAATGATACGAAATGCAGTCCTGAAAAAACAGAGAAGTCAATAGCCATTGGTGCGAGTGGAAGGAGAGGGTTTGTTCGTAGGTGGAGTTGGGGGAGACTTTTTGCCTGGTAAAGTGGAGATGGAGAATTAGAGATAGAATAAGAAATTGAAGATGTATTTGTAGGCCAACGTGATGAAGAATAAGTCCAGAAATCAGATTAATAATTAAAGAAGCAAGAATGCAAACTGATGAAGCAGCAGCGAAACGCGAAAAGCTGGAAATGAAGGAAAGAATAAAACGCATCACTTTAACAGCATTGAAACGTACCGTTTCATTTAAAGGCAGCACCAAAGCACAGCCGTTTCAAATCTACTGTTTAGGTGTTTCAATGTTAGTCGAACTCGTAATTACTTAGAATAATTTTTTCTCTATCCTCTTGATTAGTTGAAAGCAACTGTGTAAAGCTCTTGTACCATTTATTCATTAATGATATTTTATTTGTGCCGTTTTCATCATCTTCTCACAGTATTTAGAATAACAAAAGAAACTAATTTAGAATAAGAATTCTCTATTCTCTTGATTAGTTGAAAAGCAACTGTATGTAAAAACCTTATACTCTTTATTCATGTGCACTGACATTCCCTTGTGTTCTTTGCGTTGTTTTCATCATCTTTCGACAGTATTTAAAATGAGAAGAGAAACTAATTTAGAATAAGAAGGGGAACTGATTGTGAAAACTGAAAGGCAAATGGGGTGGTTGTTGTAATGACAGCAACAACAATTGGCCTTAAATTACCGTTATCTTTACATTAGGTAAATGGACACTTGACATTATAATAAAAAGGATACCAATGGGCAAAGAGGGGCCAAAGGATTTCATCATCTTCTGACAGTATTTGGAAAAAGAAGAGGAACTAATTTAGAATAAGAAGAGGAATTAATTGTGAAAACTGAAAGGGAAATGGGGTTATTGTTGTAATGATACCAACAACAATCGGCATTAAAATACTGTTATGGCATTATAATAGAAAGAGGTATCAATGGACATTGTTTTTTGAGTAAGAAGATCATATACCAATTAATAAGTCAAATGTTCATATGTAAAAAATGATAAAAAAAACATTTTATTTTGTCATACATATATATATATATAATTTCATCCTTTTCTGATTGTTATATTATAGAAGAACTTATTTAAGTAGAACACTAAAATATTAACCTTTACACAAGACATTTGAGGCAGA